AAAGAAAGAAAGAAAGAAAGAAAGAAAGAAAGAAAGAAAGAAAGAAAGAAGGAAAGAAAGAAAGAAAAGAAGGAAGGAAGGAAGGAAGGAAGGAAGGAAGGACGGAAGGGAGAAAGAAAGAAAAGAGCAGTGTGGGCTGGAGAGATGGCTGAGCATTAAAGAGCATTGGCAGTTCTTCCAGAAGTCTTAAGTTCAATTCTCAGCAACCACATGGTAGCTCACAGCCATCAATAATGGCATCTGGTGCCCTCTTTGGGCATGCAGATGTACATGTAGATAGAGCACCATATACATAAAATAATTAAATCTTAAGTGTTAAAATTCTATCAACCAGAGAAACATGATATCTATTTATTTACTCAAAACACTTTCTATGTATTATTATGATGTTTCTTTTCTCTTGCACTCCAGTATGGAATTGTCCAACGTTCTGTTGGAGTCTAGCATTTTTTTTTAAACTAACATCAGTTCATAACATTAAGCTTATTTCCAAAGCATCAATAATTTTCTTTAGTATTATTCTCACTAAATGTATAGTATCCTATTCTATAGGATATATAACTTAGCCTATTATCCAATATTGTTTGCTTTTTAATTATCAGTATAAATATCTTTAAAAATAGCTAATTCTTTATACGAAGACTTGATGGTTTCTTTAAAATAAACGACAACTAAACTAAAACAAATTTAGGATACCTGATGGGTCAGACTTAGTCATGTTCATAGTAGGGACAAGAACGCCAGTGTCCCTTCACTATGCTGTCCCCAATAATGGTTAATACCTAGAACAGCCTTAAATGCCTTTAAAACCCTCAAATATCTGATAAGTAAAAACTGTAAGATTCCAATGGGCAGTGGAGGTGTACACCTTTAATCCCAGCACTTGGGAGGCAGAGGCAGAGTCTGAAGACAGCCTGGTCTACAAAGAGAGTTCCAGGACAACCAAGGCTGTTACAAGCCCCTGCCCCCCACAAAAAACTAAACAACAACAACAATAACAAAACTTATTTTTTAAAAATGTAAGATTCTAATTTTATTTGTACTTCTTTTGGTTTCTAGTGAAGCTACATGTTCTGGAATGCCTAATGACCAACATTTAATTTTTAAATTCCCTGCATATTTATCTACTTATTTCAGATCTGTACTTTTCCTATGAAAGCTGTTTGGCATATGTCTGTGTAGAAACGTAACTTATGTGTCTGTGTAAATATGCAGATTCCTCTGCCATGCAAGTATGAACATGTGCACAATTATGGAAGATGTATATATAAGCTATATACTCATATTTTCTATTTATGTGAGATGTCAGTTGTGTCTTTTGATCTAAAGCCACCCCAGATTTAAGAATGAAACTCACTACTCTTTTCTCTTGTTTTGAAATTCTCAAGCTTAATTATTTTCTAACATTTTTGGCCTTTTGTGTTTACATTCAAACTTGAAGAGAATGAATGTTGCTCTCTTTATTAGCATCATATCAGACTTGGCCAATAGAGCTATACAGGATTTCACTGTGGACATAGAAACTTCCACCTAAGTATTTAGTGCAGAAAGAAAAGCAGCAGTGAAATGAGTCAATACACATTGCTTCACCTCAGTAAAAATGTGCTTCATCTGGGCCTGTTTGTTCCTAAATCGCTTGATCTTCTGTGCGATGCGGGGATCCTTTTCCAGCTCTTCCATTGTGGCCCATTTACAATGTAAATAGGAACTATCCAAAGACATACAATTGTGAGACAAACACAGAAAAATACTATTAAGGTCCCAATAAAAAGGGTGACCATTGCACACAGAAGTAGCAGGTGTCTATTGTGACACTGCTGGATAATGCTTAGAAAGACCTTTCCCTAAAGGGCAACAATAGGATTGACTTCAAATCACTAATTTTTCTGCAGGTTCCACCAAAACTGGCTCAGAGGAGACAAAGGGGCAGACTTAAGGGCAAATTATCAATACACACCAGTGAAAGGAGGCAGGTAGCAGAAAGAGGAGAAATGCAAAAGGAAAAAAGAATATACACCACAGAACACCTTTTCCACCTTGGATGCACATGGGAAATGCTCAGAGCCTTTAAAAGCATATCAGTCCTTAGGGCCCACTCTGACTATATATCAAGTGGTCCTGGGTAGAGTGAAGGCTTTAGTAGTTTTTTTTAAAACTTTCTGGGTGATTCTACATGAAGCCCAAAATGAGTAATACTGACTAAGGTGAACCTGAATGAGTCAAGATCATGCCTTAGGGGCCAATTGATAAAAACATAGAAGATAATGAAGAGTCATAGGAAAGAACGTTTTATTCATATAAAATTTAAATACAAGTAGAATATCAAATAGACGTACAAATTTCTATACTTAACGTAGAACAGCTCGAGATCAAATGGAGGTTCTCCTGGGTGAACCTGTAACCAACAGTAAACAGTTATTAGCCCATCCCCCAAGAAGCTCACCCATATAGGCCAAAACAAAACAGGTAAACAGGTGAACCAATACCTCTGCCTCATTTTAGTAGGATTTCTGAAAAGCATTCCTATTATCTCAGGTCTTTTCTTACAAGTAAATAGCTAATTCTAATCCTAACTCTAAATTTTCCAAGAACTAGATGAATAACTACTCAATAGAGTAAGGGTACAAAATGGGACCTCTGCTGACACTTTTCCAAGGTCCACATGGAAAAAGCTTTTAGTCCAGGCTAGCCCAGGATACAGAAATGTGAGGACCACAGCACGGTGCAGAAGTAACTTAAGTTCATGGCTCTCTCCTGATTCTCTCTACATGAAAACAATAATAAGGAAGTCTATAATGAAGAGAAGATAAGCCACATCTGCACTGGGACCAACATACTGCCTCACTTATGGAACGTTCTCTTAGGAATTCCTAGGACAGCCCAAGATGTGTAAAGAAAAACTCCACTGTTTCGCATTAGGATTTCTTATCCACCTCTTCTTGATCCCTGATGACTTTTATGGGATACCACACAAAGGGATAAAAATATGTTTGTTAGGATCTTAATGGAGAAAACTATCAACTGATCACTTAAGACATTTAAGAACTTAGTGGTCTAAGAACCTCCAGTGACAATGTTCTTGACAAGCTTTCACACTAGCCAAGGATAAATAGTTGGTTCTTCAGGCAAATCCTTCTCTACAGAGGTAGTGTCTACTAGTGACAGAAAAACATGAAACAGGGACCACCAACCTCCTGAACAGTCTTAGATGCCAGGATCTTCTCAATGATGTTTGCATCGTCTTCTGGAGGCTCCTGAAGACAGAAATTTAAGAGGAAAAAAAAGGTTACCAGAAACAGCATCTGAGAGAATAACTCTAAGTGAAGAATGAGGTTCTGAGTTCAGGGATTTTTGGATTTTGGAATATCTGTATAGACTACCACCAGAATAACTGCAATTCAAAATCCTGAAATCTACTATTCATCTACCTTCACACAGACACTCAAAGATTTTAAATTTGAAAACACTTTGCATGAGGGATGCACAGCTTGTTACAGCACAGCTACTACCTCCTTCAAGGCTCACAGCATAGAACTAGCAGGATAGCTTGGAGGGTTAAAACTCTTGCAACACAAGCCTAAACATCTGACTGAGATCCTCAGGTCCCACACTGGAATAAGACTGACTTCCGAAAGTATGCTCTGATCTTCAGTGTGTGTGCATGCACACACACACACACACACACACACACACACACACACACACACGGTAATTAATTAATTAAAATGTAAAAGTTCACAGACTTTGAGTACCAAAGTCCCCCTAAGAAGTCCACAAATATTTTGCAAAGTTAGAAGTCAAACAGTAGGGTTCTAAGTTCTGGTTCTAAGTTATTGTAAAGCAGAAGAGATTCTGGGCTGTAAGAACAAATAAAATTGCTCCAAAGATTTCCAATTTTTGTAAAACTTACATATTTTGATGCATAAAATTTTCTATAATAGAAAAGAATCTTGGGGGGGTGTGGACGCAGTGGTTAAAGGCACCTTACAAAACTTAAATCAGTCAGATGCCAGGACACAACAGCAGAGAGAACTAATTTTCACAAGCTGTCTTCTGACCGCTATTCATGTACCACAGCATGTATATGCACAATACAAATAGATAAGCAAATAAATGTAATAAAATAAAAAAAAGAAACCCGGAGTCTTACAATCTAATCAAAAGATCCCAATTCTAAAACATATCAACTACTGACCTCAGCAAAGTTAATTACTATTTCTTGTTTTCTGAACAATAGTTGTAGAAGTGGTAGGAAAGATAAATACCACCAGTTTACTAGGATAAAACAGCACATGAAAACAGTTTTTTAACCTATAAAACCAAGGTGTAATAATTTCTGTTAAACCGCTGTTTCACTGATAATCCCAACTGAAAATCAATTCCTTCCTTCCTATCCTAGTCACACACCAAAATTTCCAGGCCCCCAATCTCCATGAAATCTTAATGAATAAATACATAATTATTTATTATACAAAATACCAGCATGAAAACAGTCATGGAAGGACATCCTGAATCCGAGCTCCCTTAGGTTTAGCTTCTTTCTGGACTGGTGCAGTCGCCTTTCAATGGTTTCTTATGTTCTATGACCTTTCCAGACCTACTTCAATCTAAGACTTGAAGCAGTACAGAAAAGAACACTCACCACAACAACCTGACTAGCTGGAACATTCCAGAAAGGTGATTATGCTGCACATCAACTTCATATCCAATTATCCCAAAGACCATACCACTTCAGAAAACATACTGTTAAAACTATCTGAAATCGAGCTCTTCCCATACAGTGACGCCATGGCAAAGTATGGTGCTCATCAGGCGGCAGCAGATGGCCCTAGAAATCTGAGTATTTCCTCCGCAGGAGTCTTTCCCTGACTCTCAGCCTTGGCTCTTGGCTATGCCAGATGCCAGTAAACCTTTATAATCCGCCTGCCTGTCTCCCTTGGAGCTGAGGGTATAGGTCTTTGTGAGGGGTTCCTGGCTTATTATGCAGTACTAGGACCTGAAATGGGTCATGACTGCAGAGCAGGTGCTCTTAACTGTATTTTATTTAACCTCCCAAATTTTTGAAGTATTATAATTTAAACACGCCAACAGAACCAATACAGAAATTAAGGATTTTTTAAAATGTTCAATTCCTTATGTTTTCAAACTACAGTGTGTCCTTTGTATTTCCAGCATACGTCAATCCAGGCCAATCACATTTCTAATGCTCAATAGGCTCACATGGCTAGCAATGTTCATACCGGGCAGTATTAAGTAATGTCTGTATTGAGCAATGCAGTTCTATTCTCTTTTATTGATTTATTTCCCTATCCTCACAGCAAAACCACTGTCTGTATTATGGCAGCTTAATTACGAAGTCTTCACTGGTTTTCCCTTTTTACATTTGATAACATCTTTCTATGCAAGGGCATCATCTTATCCTTACAGCAGATGAGTATGTACAATGAAAGCAAATGGAAACAGAAATGAGGGAGAGGGATCTATGAAAAAAGGGAAGTAGGATTATGTGTTGGTTTAATGCTTTTTATACTATGAATAACAAAGAAAGGTGGGGATGGGAAGGAACAGAATAATAACTCAGTGCATGTGCTGTAGAAGGAATGCTCAGGGAAGGTGGCTTCAGAGAGGTGGAAGCTCCCAGGGGTAAAGGCTCCCACACTAGGTCTTGATGCAGGCTGACAGCAAATTGAGTCCAGTTTGTGTGTCAGGGCTTCTGAACCTAGCTGTTCCTACTGTGGTTCTGCTGGGACACGTTTTCCACTTGAGCCTCCAGCACTGAGCTCTGGGCTCTTGCTGCCCTCTTCCCACATCTTCCCACAGACCAGCTATTTCTTAGCTTTCTTCAAAACACATGTACTTGGTATAGTAAAATGCCAAACTCAGGTTTCTATTTTGGGCTAGAGCGTTGGCTCCTCATTAGTGCCAAGTGATGATGGGGAGCTCCTTGGGGAGAAGACCCTGACGTATGACCTTGAACAATGGGCTGGCTGGTTGAGCAGGGAGAATACTGCATTGCGTAGCTTCTGCAGAATGGAGTTTCTAAGGCTTCTACAGCAACAGTAAAAACACCTTCAGAAGTCAAATCTCTGAAAGCGTCATCAAAGCAGTAGAAAGAAAGTAGAAAGACCTGGCCAAGGGATTCAAACTGTCAGAACATTCTCATGTACATCTAGCGTCCACCTGAGATATCCGTTGTTTAACGTGTCAGCTTATCACTGGGAATGTCCAACATCAATTTAATCAGGTATGCTAGATTGCATGCTTAAATATTACTGACTTCATCTGATTACAAAATCTTCTTTAGAACAAGCCTTCAACTTAGGTCTTGCTTTTCAAGATTATTTCAGGCTATTCTAGTCTTAGTATTCCGATATAAGCATCCACTCACAGGAAATGCTACATATGGATTTCCTTTTATTTAAATAATTGTGAGGCTGGTTGCTCATTTTCTTTAAAAAATTATTTTTTAAGGACACTGGTGCTTTGCCTGCATATGTATCTATGTGCCATGTGCACATCCTCTATCTGGATTCTAACTAGGATTGAATTACTGTCACCCTAAATATTGAATACATGGAGTATTTCTACACTTGTCTAAGTTATTAACAATTAAAATTTATTTAATTATTATGTGTATGTGTGTGAAGGTCAGAGGAAAACTGAAGGATTCAATTCTCCCCTTCTGATTTCATATTGCTACAAAATCATATAAAACAGATGTTTATAGATATTGCCTTGATGCTACTAAACGCAGCACTTATAAATCCACATTTATCAACGCTTTTTTTGTTTTGTTTTCAAGACAGGATTCTCTGTGTAGCCTTAGCTGACCTGGAACTCAGAGATACGCCTGCCTCTGCCTCCCAAGTGCTGGGACTAAAGGTGTGTGCTATTTCCTGGCAACATTTATTAATCCTAATGGCTTCTAGAATATGTTGAATTTTCTACAGTCATTCATCCATAACTAATGTCAGTTATATATTCCATTGTAATTTTTCAACTGTTTATTTCTTTGGTGTAAGTATCTTAGTATGTGTTTGTGTGTGTGTGTGTGTGTGTGTGTGTGTGTGTGTGTGTGCATGGAGGTCAGACTGATGTTCCCGAGCTTATTTTTTAGAGACAGTGTCTCTCACTGAGCCTGGAGTCCACAGACTAGCTAGAATGGCTAGTCAGCAAGTTTTCAGGATCTGCTTGTCTCTGTCCCTTCCCTAGGAACTATGGTTATAAATCAAAAGTCTTTTACTTGGCTGCTGGTGATCCAAACTGAGCCTTCAAGCTTGAAAAGCAAGCACTTGCCAACTAAGCTTTCTCCACAGCCCCAACATTTTATTTCTTCTCTGCTTTCCAGTGTGTTTGGGAATATAAATTACGATTATATAGATTATAAAATATGATTATATAGAGAATCATCTTTTTACTCCAAAATTTTGAGGAAACGTATTAAATATTGTATAAATATTTAATATGATATTAGCTATAATTTTTACTCTAATAGTTCTTTAAATGTCATCTTTTGTTTCCAAAGTGCAAGATATAACCTTTTAGGGAAAAATTTTCTTCATATACTTTTCCTGCTTAAGGTTCACCAGACCGTGAGTCTATTGGCTAATACTGTCATCAGTTTATTGAACTCTTAGTCATTAATTCTATCTTCAAATGCTGCTTTGCTCCAGTTCCTTCTCTGCCTAGAATACAGTCAGAAATGCCTTTTACTGAATCCTGCTTCTCTCTCATCTTTGCTCTGTTGGAGCTGTACTGTATTTAGAAAATTTTCCATTGATGCCTTCATATTCACTAATCTTATCTTCTACTGTATCTAACCTACTTTTAAATTTGTCTACTATATAATAAAGATTTTCATAATTCTAAACGGTTGATTTGGTTGTCATAAAAGACCCAATTCTCTACTGGAAATTTATCTTGCCCATCTTTCCCATAATATATCATCCATAGTTATTTTCAAGGTCTGTTTTGGGTACCTCAGCATCTGTGTCAAGTTTGTTTTCTAGGAACATCTAGCTATTTTTTATTCTATGCTGGACACCGAGGATAAAGAATATAACAGTTCCAAATAATAGTGTCTATCCCAATGTTTCCTGTCTTTTTTTAGACAAAGGAGGAAAGGATCGATGACCCTATCTAGTCAGTTGAGTTGGGTCAGGACTGGGGACTGTTAAGATGTATCCCAAGATAGGAATAAAAGATAATTCAAACCTCACCAAACTACCCAGTTTTGCCTGTTCCTTGAGTACAA